TGTTTGAATCGGGACCCAAATAACTGTATACTAATAAATTGGTGAAACAGATGACAAGTTCCTAGAACACAAACTATAATAAACTGACTCGAAACAGTAAATCTGAAAATATGTACACCATGTAAAAAGAGGGAATGTGTAATAAAAAACAAAAAACTTACAACAAAGACAAGGACCAGATGACCTCACCAGTAACATGCTTAAATAAGAATAAACACCAATCTATCTAAAATTCTTCCAAAAATGAGAAGATGGGATAATAGTTCCTAACTCATGCTATAAAGCCAGGCAAAGATATCTCAAAATATTACAGACTAACATCCCTTATGAATATAGATGTGAAAATCTTCAATAAAATATAAGGAAACTAAATCCACAGTATACTAAAAGGATTATACATCATGACCAAGTGGGATTTATCCCAGGAAGATGGTTCGACATATGAAAAAAATCCATGTGACAAACTGTATTAATAGAATAAAGGCAAAAAACAAAAAACACATGATCATCCCAACTGATGCAGGAAAAAGCAATGGACAAAATCCAACACCCTTTCTTAAAACATTCAGAAATAAACTTCCTCAACCTGGGAAACAGTATCTACCAAAACCCCAAGTTATCATTATACTTAATGGTAAAAGAATAAAAGTTTTTCTCCAAAATCAGAAACAAAACAAGGATGCCTGCATCATGACTTCTATGCAATACTGTACTGGAGACTCTGACCAGGGCAATTAGGCAAGAAAAATAAATAAAAGGCATCCAAATTGTGGAGTTGGAATTAAAATAGCCTCTATTCACAGATGTCATGATCTTATATAGAGAAAAATCCCAAAGAATACGAAAATTAATTTTAGCACTAATAAGCAAATATTTTTATATACTAGCAATGACTCATCTGAAGATGAAATTAAGAAAGTACTTCCATTTACAATAGCATCAAAAAGAATAAAACACTTTTATAGCTTCAATTTCTTCATTGAGATTTCCAATTTGTTGGGTAAATGTCATTATATTCTGTAATTATTTAAATAATGCTTCCTTTCTTTTACCATATTTATAATAGTTTGAAGTCTATGCTAAGTCTAATATGTAGGCTTACTCAGAGTCAATTTCTATTAACTGCTTTCTTTTTCCCTTAGTATGGGTCACATTTTTCTGTCTCTTTATGTCTCATAATTTTTTGTTAGAAACTGGACATTTTAGATAACAGTCAGTGTAGAATTTTATATTTCTGAGCCTTTCAACATGTCTGGCCTTAAACTATGAAATCTGTGTTCTGGGCAGTGTGAATACGTCTGTTTAGATTTTAATTCACATATACATGTTTTATCCTGGCTTTCTAGGGAAGTTATCCTGTGTCTAAATAGCTTAGTTTTTAGCTATGTATATGCCAAAGATATGCTCAAACAGCTTGAGCCTGCTCTTCAATCTGTGTTTGGGTTAAGAAGGGCACATTCAAAGCTTAGAGAATTCTTATCTGCCTTGAACCTTGCTCTCAGTTAGACAACCTCAGGTATCCCCTACACATGTGCACAGTTTCACAATATGACGGGATATGTAGAGATTATCCCTTTATGGTTCTCTCATTTCCAGGGTCAGCCTTTTAATTTATAGCTAGTCTTCCACTCATCCCAACTGACACTACAACCTTAAACTAGAAAATATATGGTTTCTCCTTGTTTTTCCCTACCAAGTTCACTATATTTTATCGACAAAGGTTTTTACTCATTGCCCCAAATTGAATCAGCTCTCTGACAGCAAAGCTGCTGGTTTTCCAAACTACACTTTTTGCCAAAGGTGCTGGGGCAAGAGGTCATAGTAGGGGCCCATGCAAGAATGCTGTAGACTTGGGCTATTCTTACCTGAAGCTCTAACAGTTTTCCTAAGAATAAATGTTTCTCAATTTTTTTCCTTGCTTTTAGTTGATTTCCAGAGTTCAAATAGTTTTGGGCAATTTTGCCAGTTTTATACTTCTTTGTGTGTGGAAAGTATTCACCAAACTCTTCAAGCAGGCACAGGTCAAAGTAAATTTCTTGTGGATATTTTTATGCTCATCCTCCTTATCTGACACATGAGAAAATAAAAACTTAGGGGGCCTAGATCATTTTTTAAGGTTAAAGGACTAAATGGTCTTGAAGGGCTAATTTGTCAGTTAACAATCAACACATAGGCATGGTCACTGGAACCAAGTAGCATCTTGTTTTAAACATGCTATTATCTTCTTTGAAGGTTAGTTTCCTTTTTTAAAAAAGTGAGACGGCTGTCATAAACCAAAGATCATTGACTAAATCCAGATTTGTTTTGTTTATCCAAGTGAAGAAATTTAAGATGTGGGTAATAAGCATAAAATAGGATATTCTGCCAAAGCTAAACAACTTTTGAAAGAAACTATTATATTAAAATGCATTTTTGACTGTTTTAAAGCACATCATATTTATTAACCTATATAGAGGAGAAAGATTCTTGTTGACATTGAGCCACAAATCGGCCTCTGATATAACACAGTTTAGTTTTTCTCCTCTGCCATACCAAAAAAATTTAAAAAAATAAAAAACACCACTGGGCAAGCACGGTAGCTTTCCTCAGAAACATCTTTTTAATTTTTAAACATCCTCACATTTCTCTCCCAAATTCTACCTGCCTCATTTTTTTTTTTTTTTTTACAGCTATAAAAGCAATACAATTATAATAGCTATGGACCCACTACCAAAACAGGGCATAATTTCAGAGAATGTTTTCCAATAGTGATGATGGACTTGTGCCTCTTCATGCAACAACTCTTCTAATATCAGAAAAAAATAATTGTCATAGCTCCTTAAGTCTTCCTTTCTCCAAGTCAAACAACTCCAGTCTTTAACAGAAGCAGAGCCAAAACCCTTTCACCACCACAAGGCTCTACTGTGGCTCAAACTCTAGTAAGAATATGGACATTCCCTAGAAATGTCTCTTCGTAGTGTGGCATATCACCCCGAGTTTCAGCACAGACTCTAAACACCTAAGCATACATTTGTTCTTAAGTATTTACTGAGTGCTACTATATGCCAAGCACTGCACTTAAAGGAGGAGAAAGCAATGAACAAGATATGAATCCTGAGTCTCTACCCCCAAAAACTGGGGTTGGCAGACACTGAACAATCTCTAATTCAATTCATCCCAGATAGTACAACTCACTTCGTGCTGAATACCACTAGGACCATGAGACTCAGACAGAGAATCTTTATTAGAGTTTTCCAATACAAAAAATGGAAATCTACAAAACATGTCCAAATACACACAAAAGGGTAAGCCCATGTAATTCCCAAATGTCCTTTAGACAAACTTTTCAACCACCCACAGGGAAAAATATGAAAAAGAACAATGCAGAATTCATAGAATAAATTTATTTTATTCTATTAGAGTTTCTCCTTATTATGAGACGTCCTTCCTTTTTTTTTTTCTTGATATTAAAATTTTTTTTTACTTCATGAAATAACGTTTTAAGTAGAAGGTACCTGGCTTTGTTCTGGTTCATTCCGAAACAGTCTTACTCGTCAAGAAGGCAGCAATCAAACTTCTACACCAAAAATTTGTTGGTATTTTATTTACCCATATCATCCAGTGATTTAAAGGACTCAAGAAAGTTCCCTTTGTCCTAAAATGCTCCTCTGCACACAAAGAGTAAGCAATTACTCTTCCAACAAGTATACCACCATAAGAATTAGATTATTACATCGTGACACAAGGAAATGTAAGTTTTCCCACTCTCTTGCTGTATCATTCACAAGAACATTAGTACCACAGTAAAACAGACCCAAACACACAGTACTGTAAATATGCAAAAAGTCTAATCAAATAAACCATGTTGGTGACAATAACAATTGTAATTAAAGTTACTTCAGTAATATTAAAAGTAGCCAAATTCTTAACAAGGTTATCTATGGCTAGTCTCTAGTATCATCCACAATGAAAATAGTTTATATTTATTAAGCCCCAGAAAGGGTGGGGTGAGAGACGGCAGAAAAAGAGGAAAAAAGTTAATAATAACTTAATAAAAACTCTATTACATAACTAAGGTTGTCACTAGCATTGACAAAACTGCAAAATATGGTAGTTGAAAATGACACAAATTTCATCCAGGACACCTACCTCTACTCACTGGTCTCCCAACAAAAAAATACATCTGTGCTACCTCTGGTAATCTGTATGCTTTTACGTAAGGGTTAAAATGTAGGAGGGCATTACCACATAGTAAACAAAGGAATTTTTAAATCAAGTAGTCTTAAATTACCTCGTTCAAGACCTGGATCTGCCCTTTACTTTCTGTATGTGACCTTGCACAAGTCATTCAACCAGTTCAAGCCCCACTAGACTGTCAGCTCCATAGGCGCTAAGACCACTTCTTCCTGACTCACTACTGTAAAAACCCTGCTCCACGGCACGGAGAAATCAGTTTCTTCTTGTATAAAATAAATATATTAACAATATATTTATCTCGCAGCGTTAACTGGATAAATAAGTGGGATACTGTATATATAAAGCTCTAGCGCAGTGCCTGATTATGGTAAATGCTCAATAAAAGTTAACTGTTTGACATTAACTACCAGCCATTAAACCTGAAAGTAACGTCTGAACACTTCCAAACACTGATATGCAAAGCCTTTACCCACTAACTATAAATTCCTCAATTGATTAAAAACAAATTCCCTCCCCCCCGCCCCCCACAGAATGCCTGCGAAGTTTCTAAAACACTGGGTTGGGATTCTAATAATAGCTGAACCCTGAAGGGTGGGTTATAGAGTCAAGCTATGAAGACATTCAGTAGACTCCAAGTGCTTATACTTCAAAAAATAGGCCACAGGCAGAGGACCCACTGGCTTCCCAGTCTCCGGTTCGGACGTCCCTCGGCTGTCAGGGAACCCCCCCTCCTCCGCGCTTAGGGGGAGGAGAGAGAAAGCCTCGGAGGCGGGGGCCCGGGGTGGGGGAAAACGAGCATCCCTGCGCCTCTCGCCCAGACCCACCTTGAGCAGGATGGACGGCGGCAGCTGGTTGATGTCTGGGGTTTCGGGGGGCGGCTCCCTGTGACAGTCGCAGGGGTTTTCGGGGGGCTCCAGACAGTCCGCGTCGCCACATTCACGCTGCTGCTGGGCGGACGAGGGGGCGGTGCCCCCGACTCGGACAACGTCCCCGCCAGCCTCGGTGGGAGCACCTTCGGAAGTGGGAGAAGAGGGCGGGGGGCAGAGCGGCTGCTGGGGCTGCTCCGGACCCTGGCAGCAGCCGGCGTCGGGGGGTCTGGGCGGCGAGGCGCCTCCCCCGGCAGGCCCTCCCCCACCGCCGCCGCCGCCGCCACCGCCGCCGCAACCCCCGCCGCCACAGCGGGGCTGCTTGCAGGGGGTGCAGGCGGGGACCCCGGCCCCCTTCCGCTTGCACACCATTTCGAGGGGCGTAAGGGGCTCGGCCGGCGGCGGCGGCCCCCGGAAGAGCTGCACAGCGGCGGGCGGCCCCAGGAAACGCACCGGCCCCAAGCTGGCCAGGAAAAGGCTTCGGCCCTGCTGCTCCCAGGCGGCGGCCGCAGCCAGCCCCAGCTCTTTGCAGCAAGAGGCGGGCGACGAAGCCGAGGCAGCAGCGGCGGCGGCTGCGGCGGCCGAGGATAGCAGGAAGCGGCGGGCGGCTGCGGCGCAGTCCTCGGCGGCCAGGGCCGCGTAGCGCCGCGCCAGGTGCTGAGAAGAGGAGGCGGCGGCAGCGTAGGCCCCGTCCCGCGGCGGCGGCGGCGGCGAGAACGGCGGCTCCTCCTCTGGGCCGGCGGGGGCGGGCGCGCCGGGACTGTGCACGATGAAGCAAAGCATGCAGGGCCCGCGGAAGAAGCAGTCCCGGCTCCGGGGCGCCGCCGGCTGAGGGGGCACCTTGGCTGGGGTCCGGCGGGGCAGCCTGAGGAGAGGGCGCCGGCGGCGGCACCAACTGCAACAGCGAGGCCTCTTCTGGCTCGGGCGGTTACGCGGCTCCTTCGAGAGAAGGTGGCCCATATAGAAGGCCCCGAGGAGGGGCACCAGGACGGGAGGGAGGGAGGCCCAGAGAGGCGAGCTCCCGGCAGCGGGGCAGGCCGCTCGCTGGCTCGGCCTCCGGCCCGCAGCGGGGTCGCCCGCTCTGCGCACACACACGCACACACGGGCACACACGCGACGGTAGGGGGGTGGGCGTTAGCCGCGGGCCGCCGGAGTGCCCGAAGGGGGCTACATGCTTTGCCCAGAGAAGCCGGGAGAACGATGGGAGCGAGCTTTAGGGACGCGAGGGAGGGAGGGAGCGAGCGAGCCTGCCGGCTAGGCGACCAGTCGGGCCCGGTCAGCCGGCTCAGTCAGTCAGCGCGGCAGCGGGGGCAACGCCGGTACCCGCTCGGACCATTTTAACTGCGGCTCTGCCGGCGGCGCGCGCGCCCGCGACTCTGCTGAGAGCCGCAGGAGCGCGCGGCCCATTCCGGCAGGGGCGGAGCCAGTTGCGGCGGCGCGCTTGTGGCTAGGACGCCGGCGCCCAGCTGCTCAACCGGGACGGCTGCCACAGAGACACTGCGGGGAGGAGGCCGGCCGGCGAGGGCTCGGGACTCTGGGCTCACGAGGTGCGGCGCACGCCCCTCCCTCCCGCCGCCTAAGGTTTTTTCCGAGCCTGCTGGGCGTGCGCCACGTTTCTGAGGCGGGAGGAGACACTTCCGAGCCTGCTGTGTGACATCCGTTTACACAGCCGCGCTGACGTCCGGAGGTGTAAGTTCAAGAGCTGCCATTGGCCGGGAGCCCCTTGGCTTTTCCCCTCACCTTCCACCCCCATCACTACTCCCGACTCGGAAACTGAGGCCTCTTCGAATCCACTAGGCGGGTTCCGCCGGAAGGGCCTGTGCGAGCCCTGACCGCTCGGCGAGCGGAGTGGCAGATGCGCGGCTCCTGGGTGATGCGCACCCAAGTCATGTGAGGGGTTAATTGGTTGTACCGCACCACTGTTTCCCCACTTGTTTTCGTACTTGTTGCGTACTACTTCCTTTCCACAACTTTATTTCAGAATGAAAGCATATATCAAATTACCCATATACAGCTGAAGGATAAGCAGTTTCCTCATCCAGTGAGCCATGCAACACCCAGGCTACAAGCTGTAGATAGCTTCATTATCTGCACCCTCGGAATCCTGTCTAGTCATATATTACGTATTTTAAAGATGAAGGTGCAGTGCCTGCTGTATGACAAACCTTGGTGATCCCGGTTAGAAAGAGTAAATAGCTGTGCCGGCAATCCTTTAGAAGGTTTAACAATATCGAGGTTAACTTTCACGAGGGAAAAATTGGAGGAGGCAAATACCGATGGGAATGAGCCACTCTAATGAGAGAAATAAGGGGAGAAGGTGGAATGAAGAGTACTTAGGAAGGATGCTTTTCTTGATTGTGATTACAGAGAATGAGGAGAGGTGAATAAAGGATGGATACAGATAGATGTATGGTTTTTTTTTTTTTTTTTTTTTGACAATGGGAGTTAAACTTGTTATAGGAAATATTGCTTGGCAACTTATGAGAGACCAAGGCTATCAAGAAGGCAAGATGGATGTTTCTAACAGGAAGGTGAAAGAGTTCTTTCTTTAGGTTCCATTTTCCTTTAGATAGAGTTTGTTTACCTGCCGAAGGGTGGAAGTGTCAGGTGTTTAAAAAAAAATCTGCTAAGGATAACTTGAGAGTTAACAGTGGCCAGCCCCACCCAGCCTCCACTCAAACATGCTATCAAATATTTGTTAATTCCCCCCTCTGTCAGAAATGACTTTAGTCTTAAGTCTGTCATGTTCAGGTATCCATTTTTCAGAGCCTAATGACAGTGATGTGGAATTCCAAGAACCCTGGAGGCGATATATTTGTCAAAAGGTTTCACCTACATATTATCAAATGCATTGCCTGAACTACATTTACCTACAGATAAAATCCACATAACTTTCTTCCATTTGCCTGTAGGGTATCTTCCTGGGCCCCAGGGCAGTGCTTGAGGCCTTATAACAGATCCTTTGACATCTCTACTAGGCTGCACTTTGACCAAAGGCAAGAGTATTATAAAATGTTTTGTTGCTTTATGTCAAAAATGTGAACCTGTCAGAACCAGTTGTAGTGCTACCCATCATTCAAGCTGCAGCAGGGGAGGCTGAGGGATGAGGATTGCTTGAACCCAGTTTGTTATGGTTATGCATGTGAATAGCAACTATACTCCATTTTGAGTAGCATAGTGAGTCCCAGTTTGATTTAAAAAAATGTGACCTATCTATTTCATATAAGTTAAATGCACATCTGCCCTATGAGCCAGCAGTCCCACATCTAGGTATTTATCCAGAGAAATAAAAGCATATATCAATAAGAAGACTTGTACAAAAATATCCCTAACAACTTTATTCGTGGTCACCAAAAATGTCCATCATTAATAAGGCAATATATTCATCTAATTAGATACAACTCAGCAACAAAAGAAAAAAACATGGATGAGTCTCAAAAACTTAGGATGATTATTACTTTCTGGAGATGAGGCCCTTGAATCTCTACCTGATTATAACAAGCTCCCTATATGATTTCTGTACAGACAGCCTGGCACCATGCAAATATATCAGAACTACACACACCATCCAACTTCAGCTTCGTGTTTTTAGAGATGAAGCAACTGACTCTGGGACTTCTGAAGTCGTTGACAAAATTTACAGTATTCGTTTTCTTACTCCCAATTTCTAAACCATTTAGCCACAAGCAGATTGTCTTTGGTCTACCTATTGGACTCTGCAGACAAATAATACCTGTTTTTTTTAGTTAAGATATTTTGCATGTCTGTTCTCATCACCCACCATCATCATACCACTAGTTCTCTACTATTATCAGGAGAGCCACAATGAGTTTTGGAACTCAGTACCCTAAATAATAGTAATACTATTGTAAATGTTAAAGATACAAAATTATGAATAAGAGTCATAAATTGCAATTATAGGGACAAATGTAACAGCTGATAGCTTTGCTTGTTGGGGGACAGAGGGAGCTGGGTTGCAGTGGGAACCAACCCTGGACAGCTTGGAGCTGTACTGGCACTATTAGCTGTGTATTTGTGGTACTGGCAGCTGTCTTGGCATTCTTAGTTCTGAGTGTTTTATCAAATATAAACAATCTCACAAAACGTCAATATCGGTTATCGTCTCTCTGTGACTGTAACAGACAAGACAAAAATAAGACCCCTTCATAATCATGTCTAAACACACCAAATAGAAGCACAGTCTCTAAACTACAAAGATGACCAAACATTCTGGTTAATATAAGTCACCACCGCTTCTTGACCAATTACAACCTTAGTCTTGCTCCATTCTTCCTGCCTTCTAGATAACAAATATTAAAATATTCAATTACAGGATTACCTGTTTCCTGCCAGCATTCAATCCAGAGCAAAACCTTGACACTTCCCCAAAATCACCTAACCCAAGCTGAAATGTTTTTCACAATACCAATACCCACTTACGGAGAGTGCCCCCCACCCCCACCCCCACCCCTTGCAACAAGTCATTAAACCCAGCTTCATTTGACTCTAGGTGTTTTCCTGCTGCTTTTTAGCTGAAGGGCATTAGCATTTATTATAATCAGATGTCACCAGCCTATCTAAAGTGACTCCCTCCTTTACCCTTTCCTCTTACCCTGTTGTTATTTTTTTTGTAACTCATTGTCACGTTTCAAAAAATTTTTGGTTTGTTCCATTATACCATAGGCTCCATGAGGACAGGAATTTTGTTCAGTATTCAGGAAGATAATCAGGCTACTATGTAGAAGATGGACTAGGGAAGAAGCAAGCTCTTGGAAGGAAGACCAGTTAAAGTTGATCAAAAGGTTAGTGACAAGGCCTTAAAAGTATGAATTTAGGGCCAGGCATGGTGGTTCACCCCTGTAATCCCAGCACTTTGGGAGGATGAAGTGGGCAGATCACCTGAGGTTAGGAATTCGATACAGCCTGACCAACATGGTGAAACCCCACACAGCTGAAAATACAAAAATTGGCTGGGTGCAGTGATGCATGCCTGTAATCCCAGCCACTCAGGAGGCTGAGGCAGGAGAATCGCTTGAACCCCAGAGGTGGGGGTTGCAGTGAGCCTATATCGCACCATTGCACTACAGCCTGGGCCACAAGAGTGAAACTTAAAAAAGAAAATAGGAACTTAGACATTCTGAGAATAATGAAATAAGGTTGTTATTGAGAAACATTTCTGATGGGAGTTGTCAGGATTTAATGAATTCTTTCTGAACCGGATAGAGGGAAGGGAATGATGGATATAGGGAGAAAATGAACACCCAAATTTTATGTTCTTATGACTTACTTCAATGAATAACTTACTGTGATGAAATAATGGATTCTGTAATGTAAAATAGTTACGTATTTGAATAGTATCCCAACCTAGGGTAGATTTGAGTTGTGACATACTGAGATTCATACTGAAAACCAGTATATAAATTTAAAATGTTACAAAACACGTAAAAAACATTTTTCTTTCTTCTTTGCTAACATAGATTATACTCACTTTGAAATTCACATTTTCCTATAAAAAGACAGCCTGTGTAAAAAGTTTTCAAGCTTGAAGTTGGGTAATGGTGGTTGTGGTAAATAGCTAAAACATCCAATAGCACCATTTGTCAAGGAGAACAAAGTTCTTGTGCCGTTGATCCCAATAATTGTGGTAAGTGTGATGGGTGGCCTAGAAAGGCACTCTGAGGGCAGAAGACATTGTCTTGTGCATCTGGAAATCGTGGAACACCCAGGTGTTCAGTAAATTTAATTCTATATTGTGTTTTTGCTAAAACACTCAAGGCCAAAGATGATAGTGAAAACAGGTTTCCAGAGAATTTTCTTCAGGAGGACAATCTATACTCCTGAATAATTTGTTTCAGACATGATATGAAAGTTCAGCTGTTTCCTGGCCTGTTCTTCCCTCAGCTCAGCTCTTAACTGATTCATTCTGAGTTTCTAGATGATATCAGCCCTGATATCATCTCCCGTCATGAGAGTTCTTCACTAGTTACTCTGTCATACTGCCCTGTTCATTTTCTTCACAGCAGTTACCATAGTCTGCAGCTGTGGTATTTCTGTGTTAGTTGACTATCATACCCATCAGAATTAATTCCTACTTTGTTTACTCTCAAATTGCCAGTACCTCAATTTGTCAATTAACTGAATTTTAAAGGGAGATTTTTGGAGGCTGAGACAGGAGGATCACTTAAGTCCAGGAGTTCAAGACCAACTTGGGCAACATAAGGAGACCCTATCTTTACAAAAAATTTAAAAATTAGCCAGACATGGTGGCTTATACCTGTAGTGCTAGCTAATCTGGTGGCTGTGGTGGAAGGGTTGCTTGAGCCTGGGAGGTCCAGGCCACAGTGAGCCATGATCTTGTACCACTGCACTCCAGAGCCTGGGTGACAGAGTTAGAGAGACACTGTCTCAAAAAGAATCAAATAAATAAATAAAGGCATATTATCCACATAATCAAGTGAACTCTTAAAAAGAGGGTCAAGGACAAGTCAGAGAGATTCAAAGCAACAGTAGATCGTTTTGTTTTGGCCTTGAAGAAGTAAAGTTTCATGTTGTAGAGAGGCTTTTGTGGCAGAAGATGGCAGTGGCCCCTAAGAATGGAGAGTAGCCCCTAGGCTGATGGCCAGTAAGAAAGCAGGCTTTCCCTCCTACAGAATTCTTAATTCAGCCGACAACCACATGAGCTTGGAAGAATACCCAGAACTACAGAAGGGAGAACAGTCTGGCTGACACCTTGATTTCAGCCTGGCAAGAACCTGAGCAGAGAACCCAGCTGAGCCCATGCCAGGACTTCTGACTTACAGAACTATGAGATAATAAATGTGTTATTTTAAGTCACTTTATTTCTGGTAATCGTTTGTGCATTAAATGCGAATGTTTTTGCATGGAATAAAGCATATATTAAATACAGTCCTGTGAATACCAAAACAATGTAGTTTTAATGGCAGAAATCAAATTATCAATTATCTATAACTTCAAAGATTAATTGAAGCTCATGAAAGGAAACAACTAATTAGAAGTTAATACATGTACAGACTATTTGTTGTTCTCCCACTTTTACATAAATTAGATAATCGAGACAAAGGTATGGGCTTATTTTTTGCTTAAGACTCACATATATATCTTTTCCTTAAATAGAATTAATGTAATACAAAGATGTTCAACTGTTTATATTCCTTCAATTTTGTGTGTGTCTATATTCTATAATTAGTATTTTCTCATTTTCAACTGACAGAAACAGTGCCTATAGAAAATAGAAATTGCATGTGTCTCCCTAATAGTAAATATTTTTCCTACTAAATTTATTTTTTTCTCCTTTTTTTTTTCTTTTTTTTTTGAGATGGAGCCTCACTTCATCACCCAGCCTGGAGTGTAGTGGTGAGATCTTGGATCACTGCAACCTCTGCCTCATCCTCTCAAACAGCTGGGATTACAGGCACCTGCCACCACATGCAGCTGCTTTTTAATAGAGATGGGGTTTCACTATATTGGTTGGCCAGGCTGGTCTCTAACTCCTGACCTTCTGGTCCACCTACGTTGGCCTCCCAAAGTCCTGGGATTACAGGCATGAGCCACTGTGCCCAGCCAATTTTTGTATTTTTAGAAGAAACAGGGTTTCACCATGTTGGCTAGGCTGGTCTCAAACTCCTGACCTCAGATGATCCACCTGCCTCCCTAAAGTGCTGGGATTACAGGTGTGAGCCAATGCGCCTGGCCTCCTCTTGAATTTAATAACATTGTATTTCTTATTATATAATTTTTAAGTGGTTACATACTTGCACATTATAGCCAGATAATTAAATCTACTTTTAGTGACTCAGAAATGACAAGTCACCTTCACAACTCTGTGTATTAAGAATTTGTGCTATTATTATAATAATGAAATGTCTGTCCCAAACTTGTGTGCTCTACTCTGAGTCTGATGAGTAGCAGGTTGCCCCTTCCTAATTCATTCCCTATATCTGGAGATAAAATCATGATAACCAGAATCCAGAAACTGGAGGAATGGAAATAACCATTTAAGTTATATGTAATCTCTCCTGGTGGGCAACAGAGGAAGGGTGGCAGCAGTAGTGAGGCAGAGATCACTCTGATCAGAGCCACTGCAGGTGGCTGTCACCTATCTATCTGATATTGCTGGGTTTAGTAATTCCGTCCCCCCTTTATTTTTAACCTTATTTTACTCCTGTGGAAAGTAATGAAGCACTGGTCTTTGTCACAACTTAGGGAAAATTAGTGGATAATTTTCCTTAGATGTGGAAAGGGATGATAAATGACTTTTTTTTTTTTAGTTGTTTTTCCTTTCTAAAAATAGAAAGCTGGAGTCATACCTAATTCTGAAAGCAGTGGACAAAATGACTTAGGAATCTAAGTTCTCTGTAACCTCGTAAATCACATAAACTCCCTATTCTGGCAGGACACTTTATCAACATATCACTAGTGTTACATTGAGTGGGCTTAGGTTTTGATTCTGTTCTACATGCTTTTTAATTATACATTATCATTTGTTTATCACATTTAGGTTATTGTATGTTATTCAGTCACACCTATAGTACATTGTCATATAAATGTATCAACCATATTTAGGGTCCATTATTTAGGGTTCATTAGTTCCTACTAACTACATGTTAAGTAAGATAAGGGGACAGAGATTTAAAAATATTATCTGTACCCAATTGTTAAAGGAGATACAAACATCTTTTTTTTTCTGTTTTTAGACGGAGTTTCACTCTGTCACCCAGGCTAGAGTGGACAGTGGCACACTGCAACCTCAACCTCCTAGGCTCAGGCAGTCCTCCCACTTCAACCTCCTGAGTAGCTGGGAATACAGGCAAGCACCACCATGCCCCACTAATTGTTTTTATTATTTGTAGAGACAAGGCCTAACTATGTTGCCCAGGCTGGTCTTGAACTCCCAGAATCAAGTGATCCTCCCGCCTCAGCCTGACGAAGTGCTGGGATTACAGGTATGAGCCACCATGCCAGGCCTGAAACATAATATTCTTAAATTTGTTTGTTCAGCAACACTTGGTATTCAGTCAACTTTTCCATCCTCAATTGAAAACTGGAAATGAGTAAAATGTGGGTATAAGGATCTTTTGCTCCCTCCAGGGGAATTCATTTTGTAAGCTTGAGAACCATTATCATGGGTAGTATGGTGTCCTTGCTAACTTCTTTTCCTTTCAACACTGCTTTATATCTTCATTTAAATCTTATTTTGAAAAATAGAGGCAGTGTGTTTGTGTCTTGGGAAGAGTACTAAGAGGCAGAAACTCTTGCAAATTCTATCGTTTTGCCAATGATTTTCCCTGGCAAATCAATATATTTCCTCTCTGTTGTCTTCAACATTTGTAAAAACTTGACATCTCTAAACATTAATGAATTAGGCCTAATTTGAATAATTAAAATCTTTATTGCACTACAAATCAAAGATGTTCACTGCTGAGTTGTCAATAGGTAACAACTGCAGATAGGTGCTGTTTTCATGTGCTGAGGATCCAGAGGAAATCTATTTTAAAAATTAATATAGCTGTTTTTTATGTCAATCATGAAATGATAAGTAATATCCTCCCCATCTTTTTTATAAATTAAAAAAAAAGGAAAATTTACTTTGGAAGTCATAAGAGGCCCAAAATGTGTCATAATCTTCACTGGAAAATTTTGTAGAGCACATGGTCATTGGTAAGAGACAAGAATCCATAAAGGACTGCAAGAAAATGTGTTATTTCTAAAGGAAGTGAATTCTAAGGGAAGTTAACCCTAAAACCTACTTTAAATTGCATTGCCTGTTTCATACAGTTTCATC